GAATGCTGGTTGCATGAAGAAACAGAGAGTTGATTTTCGACAACCATTTCGGCAGCTGCCAAGAATCATGCAACTTCGATTTAGAAGTGGTCCTACCGTTGCGCTCTATCGTGGTATGACACCGCTTTCAATCTCCAGAAGACATTTCTAGTACATTTTCCTGTAAACGCGGAGGCAGGCAGATAAAGAGAGCTTTCGATGAAATCAGGCAGACTTCCTGATGGGATAATCCTTTCAGGACCAAACTTTCACTCTGCGTAGGATCATTGAGCAATGTCAGTGACTTCAGTGCCTTGGTTTGTCAGCTTCCTCTACTTTAAAGCTACATTTGATTCGCAGCGTCATTCGACAATATGAAAAACCTTGAAATGCTATGAGATACCTCAGCGCGTCGTTTCTACTTTTCTATCTCACACCTCGTATCGAGATGTGCGCAGGAACCATGTCTGTTGCCGAAGTTGAAAGAAAGCCACGGAATGCTTTCATATTAACTGCGGAATTCGCCATGGAAATGTGTGCTTTGGTGTTTGCTATTCAGCATTGTCCACTTTCTTTCCAAAACAATGGTGGCTCTGGCAAACACGAAAATCTCATTCTAGAAAAAGACCGGAGTTAAAGATATTCGACTGGATAGTTTGCTGATCTGGTAGACGCAGATGATATTGATCTGGTGAGTAGTACGGGCAACTGGCTCTGTCACTTGACTGCTTCTTATGCGTCACAGCTGCTTAAGCTCGCTTCTTTCTAAACCTCCAGAGGTCAAACGTTATGAGGAACCTATCCAGAACATCTTTTCTGATCGACCGCAAGTGGGACAGAGAGACGAAGCGTTTGAGAAAGTTGATCAATTTATGTGTCTCGGCTCCATCTGCGATAGCATTGTCCAATCAGAGTTAAATATGAAGAACGCAATAGCCTCCTATGCTTTTGAAAACCTGTCAAATTTTTGGGCTGAGAAAGGAGTGTTTCCTTCCACAAAAATTTTTGTCAATCTTGCATCTGTCAGGCCAGTCTTGCTTTAAGGAACAGAAGCAGTTGTTCCCACGAAAGAGCAACAACGACGGCTGAACTGCGTACAGCAGCATTGGCTTCGATGCAAAATGAAGGCTAAATGGAAAGAGCTTATAAGAAATAACTCTATTTTGTTCCGGATGTCAGTAACATCGATTAAGAAATGGAGATTGGCCCTGTAAACAGACTGACTCAGCATAAATCTTCTCCTCCAGTCCATTGGCATTCCGTATGGAGCGAAAGCTCGTCAGACTGGGAAACCAGGTAGAAGCAGACCTGCGTTAGGTGAAAAATATTTCCTCTGGCGATGCAGTAACCGGTGCCTCATAGTAAAACTGTCTTAAAGCTGTAAACACAGATGATTCCACACGCCAGAGACGTTCCGCTCATACAAATGGTTGAATATGATGATATCAACCAACAAACAAACAACACAATTTGCCGTTGCATTTGGTCAATCACCAATCAGTGCATTCTCATGAATCGCAGTACCCAGAATTGGTTTTCAATGCGAATGGTTCCATACATAGATGCAGCAGGACTAAAAAGGAATACACAGTTCTTTGTTGTCTTTCTCACGGATTTAATTTTTGATTTCCTAATCTTCCATCACCATCTATCTGACCATCCCCAGGAGAAACATTTTTCTGACAAGAGTGTTAGATAGCGAAAAGGCGTTCAACGCTGAAGGTTCCGTTTCATCTTATTGCGGTTCTTTTATTTCAGTGCTTTTTTCAGTTCCTAATGCACTTCCTGGCAGGTCATCATTTTTGGGTTCTGTGCTCTTGTCCATAGGCTGCCACTCTTTGTACGTAACCCGATTCGTCGACACGACGTTTTTTGGTACGTACATAATCATTGTATATTTCGCTGGTATATTTGAAATTGCGGTCATTCGTACTTATCCCTAATTAGTTAATTTTTTACTTGGTAATATCGTACAATCCATGTCAGAGTTTGCATGCGAAACTTTGGCTTCACTTTGTGCGGATAGGTAATACTAAAATGCCTTTCTTACGTTAATTGCAACCATCATCGCTGCCCTGATGTGTTCTTATGTTGGCCCGCTTTCAGGTACAGGATTCTGAAGACAGATTTATGACAAGTTATATAAACATCAATTACTCAGATGAGTAGATGTGTGCGAGTTTGAAAAACACTTTGGATGTTCAGACTGTGAAGTCTCGAATTTGAATCAAACCAATGGCAGCAGATTGTACTGATTTACACTTGTGCTAATAGCAATTGTCTCTTTCGGTCTTCATTTAGACAAGTGCTATTCAAAGTGAGACGGAATTTCTCTCTGTTGGTTGGCGGTTGTGTTTGCGGTTGACAATTGTTCCATAGCTCCATCCGCAACAATGGCCGCAGCGAAGCACGAGTTTTCGATAGAGACCAACGCGGCCCTCAATCCGACACCAGCCAAAAGCATCGATTAGCGCTTTTCGACTTGTAAACCATTGATCGCGAGTGGATCGGAGCGAGGTGGAGTAGTCGGTTCCGGAAGGGGAAAGTTTCTGACGTTGCCCGTGCACAAAGATCAAGTTGTGCTAGTCGCCTGGAGAATTTTTCCTCACACTCATTTTGGTCCATTTAATTGGTTTTTCAGTCGCGGCGCCCTAAATTGTTTTTGTCTCCGTTTTCATCGCGATCGATACAGAGACTCATCTCCGGGCAAGTGTGCCATGCGTCGTCGTTGTGCGAGGAAGACGACGACTCGATTCCGCAACATGCCGGAGACGTCGTGAGTTGCATCTGCTCCAGACCGAAAACAGACATGGTCCAAAATCTGAGCAAGAAGTTGCAGTACATCATCAATCACCGACACACTTGTTGCGGATGCATGAATCTGAAGACCGCCGCCTTCCTGATCGGACTGGTGGACAGCTTCTTCTGGTCAGCGGCAGTTGCCAGAGGCATTTATTTGTACCTGCACATCAGTCGAAATCCACTGGCCACCAACTGGCTGATCGTCTCGTTGCCATTGTTGGTGGTAAGCTGCTTTGCGATTCTTCTCATGCTTTATGGCATATGGAAGGAAAAGTACCTATGGATTCTGCCGCAAATCGTCGTCAAGATTACCACCATCCTCATATCAACGGCGCTCGCCGCGCTGTTCACTTACCTGCTGATCACCCAGCCACAGATGGCCGTGCATCTAACGGCGCCAATTTTGGCCGAGGTGGACTCGACTTCGCTGAAGAACGCCATCAAAGTCGGCGGATCCGTATTCATGCTAGGAAGCATCGTTTTCATACTCTTTCAAATGTGGTTCACCGTCACCCTCATCACCTGCTACAAAGTGTACAGGGTACTGTACTTGATCCGATGCCTTCAGGATCAAAACGTCCTGTGCCGCAACATCAATCTGTCGATGTTGGCGGGATAACGCTTTCACTCCGGAGAAGTTTGGCGACGAACCTCTTCGTTCAGCTGAACTTTATCACCACCTGGGCCCACCATCCATCTAATAACGGATCAACCGACCATCGCCTCATTGTATCTGCAGCCAATGGCACCTTTTCCATATTCCAGAAAATAATACATCTCAAACATTGGCCGCAGAAGACCGCCGCATAAAATCGTTCATTTCACCCAGTACCAATGCAGATGCCCACAACCGCGTACGACTGTATCCGATACTTCCGTTTCATGATTGAGTGCCATGCTTAATTAAAATTTTTATGGCATAACTTAAACAATTACCTGACCATTACAAGAGTAACCTAACCAAAAGAATCTTGATGTCATGTTAAATGTGCCTCGTTCTCGCAAGTATACATTTTAACGAGTTTGTTTTAACTGTTTGTGAGAAGGATGCTATAAAGCTACATGATTATCGATGAGTAGCACAGCAAAAACAAATGAGCTGCATGTACGCGTAATAATAAGCGTTAAGTACATGTCGTTGATCGCCTTCGTACTTCTTATGACGGCTGTTGTTGTCTAACCTTTCTCGATGCCTTATCAGACACCCCATTTACAGTCACTGGAACAGCGTGCTTCCAATGAATAACTGTTTGTTTCTCTTGACCGAATTCATGCGGCGATTGTCTACCGTCACCTTGCCAACTGTTAGAAGGACCGTTTAAACGGATTATTATTTCAAGGAATAGAGCGCATGCACTGATGGATGCCATACTGTACATAGCAAAGACCGAAAATGGTAATTCTGGAGTCAACAGCCATCATGATGGTTCCCGATGTCATCTGTAAGGATAACCTCGTTTCGTCAACCGAATTGTTACATCCTACATGGTGGGGGAAAGTTTGCAACCATCACTGTTAAAACTCTAACTTTGCTGAATAACGTTGCTTAAATTTTTCTCCAGGCGGTTAATACTAAAGTTATGGTGCATAATCTGCCTTTAAATCGGGTTAGACAGCATGAGTAAAATCCTCAGAAAGTACCAGTTTGGTAATCGGTCTAAAAACACTGGGTTCAGTCATTACTGAATGATTACATCCTGTTGGCAAATTCAAACTAAGGGATTCTGTTCCCGATACCCTTAGCAGCAGTGGAAGCAGACCCATGAGGAAAACGAAGAGGTATAAGCTATGTTATGATTTCGTAATAAGAGTAGTCTGTATCCAATCTACATTGTAAGAGTACATATTGAAGCTGACCGCATGAAATGGGGCTTTTCTTATATTCAGTTCAGGAAAGAAAGTTTTGCGTATGGGACATAACCATGAATCGGCTAGTTTTTCTTAAACCGTCTGCTCGTCAGGTTCTTAGGGAAGACTGTGCAGATGATTCGCAAAAATGTGATCAGCCTGGTCACATCTTCTCCATATTCTGCTTTGCGAAGCAGAATCATCGACGAGATGGTCTCTTCATCAGGAATTATATTTTTTCGACACAACGCCAACAACAAGATGGGTTCCATACCTACGGCGCAGAGACGGATTATCACTTGAAAACTGAGTTTTCAGTGCATGGCACAGCACCCAAGATAATCAGTGCGGACGCGAGTAATCTTACATCGCAATAAGCGGCCAGTCCAAACGTCGGTCGGCTAATAAGCTAACGGCAATAATGGGTTGAAACGGGTTGCTGAGTCATGAGTTCAAATCTGTGTCAGGCAAAGACTCACATGTAGCAAGCTCAGGTAGAATGATTGGGGATCAAGATCACTTCCGAAATTAACTCAGGGTTACCTTTCGCCATGCTACTTCTAACCGGAGTGATGAATTTTGCGCATACTTCAATACATCCCGCATAATTTTAGTTGCACGTGTTCGTCGGCAACTGCATTTTAGTGGCCTGTTTCTTTATATGCCAACGTAAAGCGTCATAGGCGTTGATTCTACGTCAGAGTATGTCGATACCGTTCTAAACCGTTCAAGTGATTTCGTTATAATTTGATGTTTGGCGAAAGCATATTAGGACTCAGGTAAATCTTGAAGAGTCACTGGCCTCAAAGAAGATGTTACTACGGCAATAAAATGGTGTAAGGCTGGGCAAACGCTGAAATGCCACAGAACTGCGACTTGTCTTGGACCATCTCTAGGCACCCATCAGCGATCAGCGGCGCGATACGCCTTGATGTCTGGTTTTTGGATATCTAAAACCTTATTAACATATTCCGGAGTGCTAACCGCATACATGAATCTGTGGTATGTACACGGTAATTTGTCTATACCGATTCGGTTTTCAGTTAAGACGGTAGGTCGTGATTTTTTGCACTGCAACGCTGCCAGTTGAATTTCAGTCAACCCTAAGCGACGGAGTAAATGTAAATCTTCATGAAAGTAAATGACACAAAAAAGCCGGTCCGCTGAAGATGCTGAATGAAGGCTTAATAAACCTATCGAGATCACCCAACAGTAAGATCTACGTCACCTTACGATACGCTTGTCGGCTAAGTGAAAAGTTACGACGTACGGCGTCTAAATCCGAACTGAATATTGTTTTTAAAAAGAAAGCCTCGCAGTCCGATTCGCTTGAAGGGCAGAGGCAACTGCGTACACAAGCTCCATTGCTCATGTGGCTAAGTGCGCATCGACGAAACGGATGGCACCATTGAGGAAGGTAAGACTGACCACAAAAGAATCATGGATCTTCATTAGACAGAAGAACGCTGATGCCACAAGAAATGGTCTCAAACAAGTCGGCGCAGGACGGAAACAAACAGTGGATTCCAACATTATCACGACTGAATGTGCAAAATATTACATATATGTTTTTGCCCAGTATCTTTAAGGCGACATGTCGGACTAATTCACAAGAGGACGAATGAGTTGCGTCAAACTGGCTTGGATTTAATGTGACAGGCGCGATTTAAAGCTGTCAAATTCATTCGGCCGGATGAGTTCCAGTTCACCATGCCCTCAACGATTTTCCCCGTGCTCCTTCTGAGCATGACAGTGTCATTGAGGTCACGAATTAGCGTACAAAACCGTGATTTTTACAAGCCTGCTTAAAATGGATGGAGACATAGTCTCGATTGATTTAGTAGTACCAACAGTACAAAGGTTCAGGGAAGATTAATATTGGTGCCTTTGAAAAGAATACACTACCGAAAACTTAACCGAACGACTTCTGTCCAGCAATAATCATGCCTTCTGATATGACTGTCGTGTTTTTCATCATCTCGTCATTTCGCAAAACTGTGTGTCAATTCACTTCATGCGGATCACTTGTACCGACCGGAAATAGGCGACGAATTGGACTGTCCGCAAGACGTTTGCCACTCCTCGCGACCTCGAACCCTCTCTGTTATAGCGCTGCCGTTCGGGCTCTTAATATGATCATCCAACTATGGGACCATGTCCCGTGGGCGAACCAAGCTACGTTCCTGGCCCACCGTGGCTTCTCGTTTCTACTTACGACAACGATGCCTCTCAGGTTATCCGCTGTCTGATTCGAATGTTGAGGACGTGATGGCGATGGGAAATTCCGAAAATTCTTCTTTCCATGGCTCTCTTGATGACAGCTATTCTTCTAGGCTTCAAACAGTGACCAAGACTCAGAGTTACACAACATTGCCTATAACATTGAAGAGGCGGCGTGGGTTTCTTTCGTGATGTATCTTTCAAGGTCCTTTTTTGAAGGAATGAAACTCGCGTCAAGCGGGAGGGGTCTTTCTTCGTGAATCTCTCGAGCCCATTCATGCCGCATATTGGTCTCTTCACTCAGATAAGCGTATTCATCGCTTTCTTTGATCCTTTCGCATACTGTCTAGTCCTTCAGCATAGTGACCTATCGCAGTTATCTTCTTCTTTACCGTATTGATTCGCAGGTCGACTTCAACACTTTTCCCTACGAACTCTCGTAGAATGTTCTGTAGGTGACGTCTGATTTCCGCATCGCGTAATCGGCATCATGTGATTAGCGAGCCTTATGTGACTGAGCTGCCATCTACTGACGTTAATCTCACCCTTCCACTTTATCCTCTAAATTTCAAAAGAGACAGCGAAGAGTCACTGCGAGATTATGCCCAGTGCTTCACGCTCACAGCTACTGTAATTCAGAAGGGAGCGATGAACAGCGTGACGTTTGTGAAACGGCCAGAGTTCGGTTCCTTTAGCAGGCTGGTGTAATGGTTCTCTAAGTAATATTCTATCAGTGTCGAGCGCATTCTTGTGGTCGACGAAGACGATGCAAAAAGGAGCTGGTATTTCCAATCGCATATCCATCGTATTGCATCTTCTTCAGATTTCTGGATGTTCTCTTCGCTGCTGCTCACCCGCACTTGTTAGCAGTCTATCGATGATGATCATAGTGAACAGTTTCTAGACTTGTGAAGGTAGGCAGGTTGAGGCATATTTAATCAGATCATCATTCTTGCTCTTCCTGAACAACATTATTGTTTTTGACTCCTTTCAAGGTTGAAAGAATCTTTTCTGTTTCCGCGGAGCAACGGAACCTTTACCGCAAAGTTTTCCACAACGTCTAATCACAGACGTTGATCATTTTATTTTTCAAACTGTTTTTCCCTTGGACCTCTTCAGTCTTTCATTTGCTGCGTTTTATTCTAAGCTGCGCCTATGACGACCGCGAGTGCACTTCTCTAGCTGCTACAGGAATGCTGGGGTGGGGGAGGGAATGTGTTTTTATAGCAAAGCGTTGCGAATAAGCGCCCTTGCAGATAGACGGCATCTCACCTCTGTCAGGCGCCGTGATAAAAGTCAACTCTTTCCTACACTGTCTAAGGCTTCTCTGTGTTTCGACTTTGTCGCTAATAATCGCAATCGAAAGGCTTCATTGACCTCCTTCAACCTGCTTTTAATAAGCAGAAAAGGACCAGTCAACCGTGTTTTTCCCACCTCTCATCCTTCTCCGTTTTTCTAGCAAACAGTCATATCTTCGAAGGAAATTCCTTTCGCTCTCTTTGATATGAGCACATCGGCTGACTTCGTGCAGCGCCTCTGTTTCTCAGTAAA